CCGATCAGCAAGTATTTATGGAGATCTTATGATCTACCTTGGGAGGGTTAGGAAGATTATTCTGGAAACAAAAATAAGACAGATGTGGGGGGAAAATGAAGGCAAAGACACGAGTTCATTTCTCCAGTGAAATGTCATCATTTCTGACTCGTGAGAAGAAATACATAACTCAAGGACTATGAGAATGGTTGTTGGTTTTGCTCTCTGCCCGCCCCCCCCCCCTTTTAAATCAATAAAACCAGGAAGAATGGTCCTACGTTGGGAACCTTTGCACGTAATAGGACTGTTCCTTCCCTGCACATGTTCTCCCACACAGACTGTGCCTGTGATTAGGAACAAAGAGTTCCAATGTGCCTGCTGCTCAGCCATACCGCTGGCCCTGGACTTCCTGTTTGCCAATCTGATAGGGTGCCCTGCTCTCCCAGCAGTCACCCCACAGTCACCCTCTCCCCTCCTACTGCAGACTGACTCCGTGAGCTTCCTCCACGTTGTGACACACCCCCTGGTCCCTGGCCTCAAGGCTTACCTATTCTGTACTGTCCCCAGGCCCTTCCTCCCCACCCTCCTCTCCCAAAGGCCTACCACACACGTGTCCATTAGGGTTCGGCTCTTTCTCAGCACAAGTTCTGAGTGTTGAAACACATCAGAAAAGCACAAGGAGATTATTTCCTGTGACCTGATTCTATAAAAATAGATTTTATAAAAAGAAGATGAGGACCGGAGTGCTATTTGCTCACCTAGTAGTTACTCTAATTATAGGCAGTTGGGTGTGATGGGCAACCATACTGGGTGACATGAGGGTTGCGTCAGACAGGATGTCTCCTCCCCAACTTCCCCTGGTAATGCCCCGCGCATGCCCCAATCGGCATTTTTGTTCTGCAAATAGGACGCCTCCCCCTGAACTGAATTGGGGGCCTCTGGCAATTTTGTATTCCCCAGGAGGTTTGAGTCCCAGAGCCCAGCTTTATTCCCCCAAGATTTTGCTGACTTGCTGTTTCTCTAGGAATAATGGACATTTTGTTTGGGGAAAAAATAGAAATTCCAAATTCTCAATTGGAAAAAGGAGAAAAAGACGTACTCCCATTGCAGACTTTTCCTGTAAAGTGTTGTGTTCACGTCCTCCCCCCAATATCTTTTGCTCCTGCTATGTAGCAGTGAAATTTCTGTTCCAGCAATGTGGAAGGATTAGGATGCTGTAAATCCAACATTCAAATTAGGAGTTTCCACTCCCACGGGACCTAGAATTAGGCCTAGGATTTAAAGACCAAAAGCTGAGTCTGACATTAAATGCACTCAGCACCTCTGAATTTAGTTGTAGCCTTTCCCTCGGCTTTTTATATGAGTGGACATCTGGGAATTTTTGTTTGAGGGTGGAGCCCCTCAAAGAGGCTGCTTACGCCTTTAACGGAGGTCACACACTGGCCCTCCACAAACCACATCCAGCCGGCTGATGTATTTAGTTTGGTCCACATGGTGGCTTTTTAAAAATAAGAGTCAGTTGTCAACATTTTAAATTTTTACATAAAACAATAATTTTATATAAAATACACATAGATTTGTATAAATATAGATTAATATAAATATAGATTAATATAAATATACATTTATGTAAAAATATAGATTTCTGAATTGTCTTGGGAAAAAAATAAAACCAGATGAGGCCCTAGCTGGTTTGGCTCAGAGGATAAAGCATCAGCCTGCAGACTGAAGGGTCCTGGGTTAGATCCCAGTTCAGAGCATATGGCTGTGAGCTCGATCCCCAGTTGGGAGCATGCAGGAGGCAGCCAATCAATGATTCTCTCTCATCATTGATATTTCTATCTCCCTCTCCCTTCCTCTCTCTCTCTCTAAAAAAAAAAAAAAATCAATAAAAATATTAAAAACAAAACAAAACCAGATGAGGCATTCCTGAGATGTTATTTCCACTTGGGTGGATGGTGGATCATGATCCCAGTAGGAAACGTACAAGGGGGATCATTCATAGGAAGGGTGGGACTAAGATGACCCGTTTCCTTCCATAACTACCTCTCCAGGCCCGAACCTCAATTCCAATGAACATTCAGTTCTGCTGCCTCAACACATCTGAAATGAAATGCCTCTTCCTAAAAACCTGCCCAAATATCTGAAAGCTGCACAACGGGCTGCCCCTTTCCAACCACAGCGTCAGATTTAACTCTTCCCCCATCTTGCCTGCCTCGCCCCTTCCCCATCTGTCACCAGGCCCTGTGGCGTTCCACTCCATACTAGCTTAAAGTCTAGCTCAGGGGTCCTCAAACTTTTTAAACAGGGGGCCAGTTCACTGTCCCTCAGACTGTTGGAGGGCCGGACTATAGTTTTAAAAAAAACTATGAACAAATTCCTATGCACACTGCACATATCTTATTTTGAAGTAAAAAAACAAAACGGGAACAAATACAATATTTGTATTTGCATGTGGCCCTCGGGCCGTAGTTTCAGGACCCCTGGCTAGTGTGAACTGAGATATGCTGTAAGTGAAGAAGACACACTGGGTTTTAAATACTTACGCAATCATCATCATCCTCCTCCTCATCCTCATCATCTAAACTAGCTGATTAATCATTTTACATTGATGACCTATTAAGGTGGTATTTTTAACATCGCGGGTTAAATTAAAAATATTAAAATGTACTTGCCCATTTCTTTTTGCCCTTTTTATGTGGCTTCTACAAAACTTAAAATTACATACGAGGTTCACATCAGTGGCTCACATTGTCTTTCTATTGGACAACACAACCTCAAAATATCTCTTGGTGTAGAGGTGCTTATTATCATTACATGGCAATCATATTACAGTATATAAATGTGTCAAATCAACATGTTATACACCTTAAATTTATACAACGTTACATGTTAACTATATTTCAATTAAAAAAATATCTCGAGTTTGTCCTAACCCAGTGATGGCGAACCTTTTGAGCTCGGTGTGTCAGCATTTTGAAAAACCCTAACTTAACTCTGGTGCCGTGTCACATATAGAAATTTTTTGGTATTTGCAACCATAGTAAAACAAAGATTTATATTTTTGATATTTATTTTATATATTTAAATGCCATTTAACAAAGAAAAATCAACCAAAAAAATGAGTTCGTGTGTCACCTCTGACACGCGTGTCATAGGTTCGCCATCACTGTCCTAACCTATCTGACCTTGCTGCCATCCGATAGCCTAGTAGTATCTCACATACCTTCACTCCTAGAATATCACATTAGTTTAGGCTTCCCCTACCCCTTCTAATCTGTTTTGCACACCCTGGCTGAGTTTATCGGACTAAAACACTGCTTTTATCATGAAACAGTCCTGCTCAAACCCTAACACCAGCTCCCAATTCTACTCCATAAAGTCCAAACTCTTCGTAATAACAACTTCCACTTTTAAAAACCTGTTCGGCCCCTCATGCAATTCTCCCAGCAACCTAGCACCTAGCAGCTAGCATGCCAGACACTTGGTTTTCTAAATAGAATAGAAAGGACTGAAGCTTTTGCCTGAGCTGGGAGGGAGAGGGAACACACCTTGGATCTGAGAGGTTATAAAGATGATGCAATTAAGGCAGCCAAATAGCAGCTCTTTCCACTCAGGATGCTTATACAAACACCACACAATCAACCAAAGAGCAGTCTACACACATTGTGAACCTATGAGACAAACTATTTTTACATCAATTGAGAGAAGAAACTGCTATATTTGCATTTCAGAAAACCCAAACCGGAAATCCAACCGGAAAAGCTTAAGTGAAATAAGTCCTCTTCTCTCACCCATTTTATGTCCAACTTTCAAAACAGATACATTTGAATCATACCAATTTGAAATGCTGTGACATAACAATAACTGAAATACTATTTCATCTCAAAATTTGAAAAGCACGAATTAAAATTTCTCAGGAATTAAATAAATCTAAAGCTAGCAGAGCTGACAGAGGTAATGACTCATAAACTGTGCTGGTATTTCTACATGGCAGCATGTTTTCACCTTGGGAACAGAGACCCTTTGTCATCTCGAATTACATGAGTTTTGAATTGTGCATTCACGACTTCATACCTTTCATAAAATACATCATCCTATACATATTTTCTTTGATTTTTTTTTTCAGCTACAAAAATCAAATCGGTTTTGTCAAATACTGTCTAGTAGAGCCCTTTGGTGCTTGGATCTTGAAATCAGACAAACCCACATTCTACATGGCAATCATGTTACAATATATAAATGTGTCAAATCAGCATACTACACACCTTAAATTTAAAAACACCCCATACCATTTATTGTATTACTTCGGACAGATTGTTTAGCAGTCCCGGGCTTCAGCTGCCGCTTCTTTAAAATGGACATAATTATACTTTCCTCACAACGTTTTATAAGAATTCAACGAGATAATACACATTAATGCAGTGCGTGGCATGTAGTAATTCTCAACGGCAGTGCAATGGTAAGATAACTTATCTGTCTGGCCTTAGCATCCTCATTTTAGAAACTTTTTTTTCAAAGCAGCTTGGAGACTCGACAAAAGGGTGGGGCTTTGGCGTCTCACGCTCTCTACTAATCTCTGTAAATTTAATAGACCAAGAGTTACACATGCCGGCGACTGGGTGGGGTAGGAACGAGAGCGTCCGCCTGTCCCCTTCGCGGCAGCCGCGACGCAGATGCCGGCCTGGAGCCAGCAGGTCGGGCCCCAGCTGCATTTGTTCTTTCTTTCTCCCGGCCGGTCAGCGGCTCTGGCGATGAAAACACTACCACGTGGCCTGCAGCCTCGGCATCGGGCGCCTTCGCCCAATGGCGAGCCACGTCACGGAGTTGGGGGCGGACCTCCAGCAAGGCAGGTCCGCCCACCGCCGCCTCCAATTGGTCAAAGATGCGCGGCAGCATGGGCTCGTGGCCAATAGAGGCCTGAAGCTTGGACCCCGCCCTCTTAGTTGCACTGTTCGGCGGCACTGGCGGGAGGGGCGGGGCGAAGCGGGACGGGGCGGGGCCAGGGCGGAGAGGGGGCTGGCGACCCGGCCCGCAGAGCCGGCGCCAGCGGGCTGCTGAGGTGGCCGTCGCCGGCTCGGAATTGCAGCTGCCCCGGGCCGAGCCCCCGATGGAGGCCGAGGCCGCGGACGGCCCCGCGGGCGGGGTCGAAGCAGCGCTCAGCTGCTTCTCTTTCAACCAGGACTGCACGTAAGCCGCGGAGCCTGCCTGGCCGGGAAGTGGGGGACAGAAAGTCGCGACCAGGGGTGTTGTCCTGTCTGCAACTTGTAGCAATCGAGGCGCGGGCCTACGCCCCGAGAGGCCGGCGGCGGGACGGCCGGCGGCTGTCCCCGACTGGTTCGGGTCTAGGTAGCCACCTCCTCTCCCTGCCTCCTCCCCCAGCAGGGGGCTTGGGCGGCCCCCCAAAACCCTGGCTCGGGTGGAGAGCCAGGAGGGGCTGGCCGAGGGTGAAAGGGAAGAGAGCTAGCCAGGGGCGCAGAGCCGAAGAAAGCAAAGGAATGGGGGTGGGGTGGTGACCCGAGTGGGGGTCTGGGGAAGGAGTGGCAGAGACCAAAACAAAGGAGATGGGAGGGGAGGGGCCGGCTGCAAGTTGACCCTAGGCGTGGTAGCGGGGCCCAGGAAGATGGGAGCCCAGGGAAAACTTTCCCATTTGTCCTTGAGCATCTCAACGTGGCATCTGGGCAGGGCCTCGGACAAAGAGGCAGCCTATCCCCGCGGCCAGGCCGGCCCCGTCCCAGCCCCGGCGCGGGCGTCTGGCCGGCCCCCTCTGCCTGTCAGAAACCTTCCCGTCCGCTCGCGGCTCCACACAGCCGCTCGGCGAGGCGAGGCCGGGGCGCCCGGTCCGCGTCCACCAGCCCTTTCTCGAACCCAGGCTGCTCTCTCCGAGGAGCACGAGCTCCACCCTGTTGCTTTGTTGAGGGGATTTTTCCTGTGTCACCTGGATGTTCGCGTTTGGACTTTGGCCAGAGAGCTGGGATTTACTGAACTGTGTGTTTCAGGCACCCGGAGGATTCGGTCCCTTTGCAAGCAGGCGTCCTTTTCCTCCCCGCTTTCCATGGAGTGGTTAGATGCCAGCCCCGGGGACCATATGGAATAACCTCTTTGGAATGTGGCCCCAGCGCATCAGGCAGGGATGACCTCTCCCCGGTTTCCCACTTCCTGCTGTACCAGTTTCTGTTGTGTTCTTGTTTGGAGTCAGCTTCAGGCTTGTGCTTTTGGCCTGCGACTGGGCTGTGCTAATATTGAACCTTCCGTGGTGTAATTAAGGCCGTCATGTACCATAAGCAACTCCGGCTTCCATTCCCTTTGTCTTTTCTGTTTAAAAACATCCTATGCCAAACAGTATGCCTTTGTTCAAAACACTGTATGTGGGATCCCGGCATCTGGTTGCTGGGCAGCTTGGTCAGATGTGTGACTTTGAAGCTCTCTTTGACCACAACCCACAATAAGAAATCGGTATTACAACATCACCCAATACCCATATACAAATAACAGCACTGAAAAGTGAATCACAGAATGGTGTTTACCTTTATTATGGGAAATCCCCGCTGGTATTTTCTGTTTCCTTTTTAAAAGCCATTTGTGACTCCCTGAATTATTTTTAGGGTTCACTCATGGTTGAGACTCACAATTTACAGAAAGGATAGTCTAGATAAAATTGTGATGTTTTGTAAGAAACATTTTGCAAGAGGGGATGGCTGTTGAAATGCCTGGGTGTTTTCCTTCCTAATTGAACACAGTTTAAGGAGAGGAGTTATTTTGTTTATTAGCAAATGTTCTAATTTCTGCTTTATAGCATTGTTTATTCGATTATTTTTTATTTTTTAAATGTTTTCAGAAATTGATTTTCGAGAAAGAGGAAAGGAGAGGGAGAGAAAGAAACATCGATTTTGGCTGCCTCTTACTCGGATGGAGCCTGAAACCCTGGCACGTGCCCTGACCTGGAATGAAACGGGGGACCTCTTGACCTCTGGGTGCCTGGGACAACACTCAATCAACTGAGCCACATGGGCTAGATTCTATTAAAGTAATGTTAATCTTTTTTTTAAAAAAATCCTCACCCAAGGATATTTTCCCACTGATTCTTAGAGAGAGAGGGAAAGACACAGAGAAATATTGATGTGAGAGAAACACATCGATTGGTGGCCTCCTGCATGAGCCCTGACCAGGGCCTGGACCAGGGAAGAGCCTGCAACCGAGGTACATGCCCTTGACTAGAATTGAACCTGGGACCCTTCGGTCTGCAGGCTGACACTCTATCCACTGAGCCAAACCGGCTAGGCCCAGTCATGTTAATCTTTATTCTAGTTAAGCCCAGGCTTTCATAGCAGTTGGATATGAATGCTATTTTCAAAACTGCAGGGTGCTTGGAAAGTTAATTTCCTTAGTCCCTACTGTCAGTTCTGTTTTCTTGGATGAAGGCTCTGCTGGGCAGCTCTGTCTCACTATAAATAAAAGTTTTTGTCACAGTCAGTTGTCTTGAGCCACAGAGGGTGTGACATTGAATTTTAAAATGAGTCGAGCCCCTTACCGAGCACATTTAGGGTTATCAGTGTGTCTTTTCTCGGTAGTCTGAGTTTGAGATCTAATATTTCTGGGGAAGGTGGGTGAAGATGGCTCTCCTTCACTCAAAGTGGCCCTGTGCTAGACACTTTGGGTGCATATTTTCATTTGATTGGAGATACCTATGTGTCCCAAACCCTATGCCCATGAGAGGGGATGAGAATTTTTTGATAAAAAGGCTTTATGGATAAAATAAGGTTTTCGCCTGAATTCTTTGATTCAGAGATGTTTGTAGCCATTGATTAATCATTTACAACATAAATAGTGACCACCCTGCCATTTTCTCATATATAAAACTAGAGGCCTGGTGTTCCTCAGCCTGGCCTGCGTCCTCTTGCAGTTTGGGAGCCCTTGGGGGATGTCCGACTGATGGCTTAGGCCTGCTAAGCCGGCAGTCGGACACCTTGGCGCTGCCACAGAGGCGGGAGAGGCTCCCACCACCGCCACTGCACTTGCCAGCCATCAGCCCGGCTTCTGGCTGAGCGGCGCTCCCCCTGTGGGAGTGCACTGACCACCAGGGGGCAGCTCCTGTGTTGAGTGTCTGTCCCCTGGTGGTCAGTGTGTGTCATAGCAACCGGTCGTTCTGCCTTTTGGTCGATTTGCATATTAGCCTTTTATTATATAGGATTCTTCTGTTCCAGGAGCAGGGCATATGTTTAAAAATTATGTTAATTCGCCAGATCTTTTGGTTAATATTATAAGACTCTAGTTACATTTTTTTTTTGTTATTTGAAAACTTTAGAAACCTCTGTTTACGGCTAAATGTGTATCTGTATGTGAAAAAGTTTATGTGAAAAAATTTAAAACACTAAACACTACAGAGTATATTTTGAAGGTTTAAGATGCTACTGGCTTGCCTTCCCAGTAGCTGTCTGTCATCATTGAGGCTGTGGTTACAGATGCCAGACCTACTAATACTCCGAAGCAAAGGTCCAACACACCATTTTAGCCACAGGGCAGGTTGGAGGGCTAAGGAACAGAAGCCCTTACCTCGCTGATTACAAGTTGACTCCAGTCACATATCCATGTGTCCCAGGGAAGAACAAATGTTTGGGTAGGAAAAAAAAGTATTCCAGAGAAAATCATGTGACCTTCTCTTTTTTAGGCGAGTGAAACAAGAGCCGTGGCCACCTGGCTTGTAGCAGTAAGCTGCTTATTTTAGTATAGGCTGCTCTGTGAAGAGCAAATCTCACCTTTTCATTTGTTTCTTGTTTTTTTAATAATGTATTTTTATTGATTTTTAGAGAGAGAGGAAGGGAGAGGTAGAGAGATAGAAACATCAAGGATGAGAGAGAACCACTGATCGGCTGCCTCCTGCATGCCCCCCACTTGGGATCGAGCCCACAACCCCGGGCATGTGCCCTGACCAGGAATCCAACCAGTGACCTTTTGGTTCCCGGGTTGATGCTCAACCGCTGAGCCACACCAGCCAGGCTCATCTGTTTGTTTTAAATGAGGAAGTTGAACTAAGTTTGAGGTCCACTGAGGCCCATGTTAAGGTCCCTTTCAGCTCAGACACCCCATTTTCCCGGGATGGAAGTGCTCAGGGAAGTGCTTATTCTGTGCATCTTGTGTGTCAGATTCGGTTCATCACTCAGGTCCTAAGGGCAAAGCAGGCGAGAGCTGGATGGGGATTCCCAGCTGCTGAACAAAACAGGCTCATTTGCCTTCACCCTGAGGCCAAGGCAACCTGGCTTCACACTCTGTCTTTATCTATGGGTTGAGAAGTGAAAAATTTAAAAACAAGTTTTTTTTTTAGCCGACCTTGTCCCAGATAAGCGTTTAGTTTTTGTTTTGTTAGTTCGTAGAGCATATTGGGGGAACAGAGGTGGACAGTGATCAGTATTTTTTTTTTTAATTTCCCAAGTGAGTTTAATGTCCATCCAGGGATGACAGCCACTGGTATAAAGTGGGAATGTTTCAAGGAAGCATCTATTAAATTTTGCCTACTAATGACCTACTATGCCTACTGGGAACATGTACTTCTTTTTTAAGCAAAAAAAAAAAAAAAAGTCATCAAGGGAATAAAAAACGACACACCTCTAGATAAAGTACCTCTCCAACAACCAGATGACCCCTAATTGCGTTGGGGGTAGTACCATGGTGAATAGTCTTGAACAGCCCATTGCCCCTATTTCTGCTCAGCTGGGAAAGCATGGTCTCTGGGTAGTTCGACATTTCATTTGATGGTTGAGCCCATGAAGTTTCATGTCTCTTAGCCATGAGAGTAGTTGTCTTTAACCTCATCCCAGTTAGAAAGTTACCACATAGCACCTGGCCAGTGTGGCTCAGTGGTTGAGCGTTGGCCTATGAATCAGAAGATCACAGTCCAATTCCCAGTCAGGGCACATGCCTGGATTTTGGATTCGATCCCCAGTGTGGGCATGCAGGAGGCAGCCGATCGATGATTCTCTCTTGTCATTGGTGTTTCTCTCTCTCTCTCCCTCTTCCTTCCTCTCTCTGAAATCAATAAAAACATGGTTTTTTTAAAAAGAGAGGAAAATGTCATTAAAGCATTAAAAAAAACCCCAATATTGAAGCACCTGAAGATGTTTATCTATCTCCATGAGTGAGAGGGAAAAGGGGTATCTGTCTTCAAGTCTGTGGTTGGGATTCAGTACCTGTTGTCATTCCCAGGCTCTCCTTGTCTCCCACAGATCCCTAGCAATTGGAACCAAAGCCGGTTATAAGCTGTTTTCGTTGAGTTCTGTGGAGCAACTGGACCAAGTCCATGGCAGCAGTAAGTGTGTGCGTGTGAGGTCTCAGGGACGCCAAATCCTCCCTCTGGACTTTAATCCGTGCTACTCCTGAGCTGTCTGCCTTTCTCTCCCTTACCCATCAAACTTGAGGCAGTATTTTTCAGATTAAATATAAATCAATGTCTTCGCTTGCTTTAAAACCAAAACCATAGCGGAGCACTTAGTGAGATGTAGCAGTAGCTTAGGTAACATTTTATATTAAGAAATCCCTTGTTTGGAACCATACTGTTGACAATTTTTCATATACATATATGCACCGTCATCAGTTCTTATAGTTGTCATAGCAAAAGATCAGTTGGGATTTCCCCCCATTCTGTTGGCACTGTAGAATATTGGTAATGTTTTCAGTCATGGAAGTATGTCCTTTGCTGATAAAGCAATACAACCCCATGTACATAGTCCATATTGAAGATGCTGGCGTACTCCTAGTAAATATTAAAAAAAAAAATTCAGCTTAGAAATGTGACTCTCTTATATAGTGAAGGATATAATCTTTGGATTTCCTGGAAAGAAAGTGGTTTGGTAACTAATATATTGGGCTCCTAATTTATTTGTGAGATGTTATTTTTATTATGCCATTTTCATGGATAATTTGCTCTGTACCTGTCCTGGGTTGCTCCCTACGGGACTTGCCCAAGATCAGGAAAGGCATGGAAAAGAGTATTTCTGGGGGGCTCACTAATGTACCTTCTTCCCAAGTACAGAGGTACTTCCCTGATCATAACACTGACATCCAGATGGTTTTCAACAGGAAAGGGATTCCAGAAATGGTCAGGGAGCATAGCAGGACGGGGAGGGAGTACAGGTTTTTCTATGCCACTGCCCCCTATGGTGGTCCTCCTCGTAGCAACAGGGACAGGAACTCTGAAGGCAGAGGCTCCTGACAAAGCAGTCACTTCTTTGAAACCTCTGAATGAGGAAAGAGTAGCTGAGATGGCCCAGACCCCTCATTAGGTTTCACAGAGCAAACAGTGGCACCCCAGGGCCCTGGAGGGGAGCTCTGGATATTCTGACTTTGTGTCTGGTCACTAGCATCTTCTTTAGATATGTGAAAGGGCTTTGGAACTGTTCCATTTGGAAGTGGCTAAAGCTTCCTGGGCGGGGGGTGGGGTGGGGGGGTGGGGGCGGATCATTGCAAATGCATTCTAATGGAGGGTGCCCAGTCAGCAGGACCTAAAGGACGCCGGCTGACTGGCCAAGGCCGGAACCCCGGTAACCTCGGCTGCTTTCCCTCCCAGATGAAATCCCGGATGTCTACATCGTGGAGCGCCTCTTCTCCAGCAGCCTGGTGGTGGTGGTCAGTCACACGAAGCCGCGGCAAATGAACGTCTACCACTTTAAGAAAGGCACGGAGATCTGCAATTACAGCTACTCCAGCAACATCTTGTCCATAAGGCTGAACCGACAGGTAAGTGGGGGGAAGATCCCTCCGGATTGCAAGGCTTCTGCTCGTTGGGACGGAGGAGAAAGATGGCTATCGTTCAAGAGGAATGCCTCTAGAACAAGCATCAGATTCTACAGGTTATTTTCATCCTCAGGCCTCGATTTATGGGGCTCCTGTAGAGAGTCTACTCCATGCGCTTGTCTCAGTGGCGGGTCCTCCCTGGTCCTCCTGCCTCTTGTTCTTTTTCGGACGTGGCCACCGGTGAGGTGAGCCCTCCCCTGGGTGCAGGCTAGCCGGACCCCTGGCTCTGGAACCCTGAGCTGTTGCAAGGACACCTTCAACACAGAGGGACGCCTCTCTGGTTTGGGTCCCCGAAGGTGGCATTCGCTGCAAACTGGCGGTCACGCCTCTCGGAAGGAAGCTCCTGAGAATAGTGTGTGGTCCTCCTGGGGTGGTTCTGAAGCCAGTCAGTAAAACTGCCCAGTGGGCCAGGTCCTCGGGCTTCCACGTCTCTTCCGCCCAGCTAACCCTTGAAGATTTTTCTTGTAGTGTTTTCTTTGTTGAAGGAAGGATTATTTTTATCTCAACTATGCAGCACCTTCTCTTGAAAAATATCCGTTCTTGTTAAATAAGTGGCTGAGGTATTAGCAGAGTTTCCGTTGAATTATTACATTCTAAGTCCTAGGAGCAGGGCAGGGGCTGTATCTGTTTTTGTTCACTGCTGTGAGACCTGGTAGAAAAGATAGTGAATGCCCGGTAGGAAAACCTCCCACAAATGCCTGTTTCCTGACCGCCTCGTCCATAAGCAAACAGAGACTTTCTCTGCATGAGCGCGCGGCTCTGTCCGTTCAGGCAAACAGTCCCAGGAGGGTGGAGGTCGTGGCATTCGCCGGGGACAATGTTCTCTCCTGTCTTTGCACCTAAACCACGAAGTGCTGATTAACTTTTTTAAACAAATGAGACAAAGTGCTTTCTGAAGTTTATGGTAAGGAAGAGATTATTTCTTTGAGTTGATCAAATATTTTCACTGACTCGCCACTTAAGCCTGCATAAAAGCAGAGAACAGCCTGAGAAATAGGACACGGGGATTTTTTTAGATTTTTTTTTTACGCAAAGAGGAGTCAGAGTAAAGAAGAAAACAAACCTGGGTTCTTAGCAAGAGAGAAAAAGGCCGTTTGAGAGTTTTCAGCTTGCAGGCTTTTAGTTTTCAGCATAGTGCTTGGCTCAAGTGCTCATTCTGAAGTCTGTTGGGAGCACGTTCAATGTTGTTGTCGAACTGTCTTGTTTTTTCCTTTGCACGTAGGAGTAGCCAGTGTGGGAGCATTAACGATCCTTTTTCGGTAACTGACGGTCTCCGTAAGGTTGTTTAGGCAAATATCCTGTTAAGATCAGAATTCTCGAATAGTATCTATGGCATGTCTTTGTATAACTTCTCTCTTACTTGCTCTCTGACACTTTCATTAGCGAATGGGACAAGGGAGGATTATTCAAGTGTCCGACCCGGTCTGTGGACCTTTAGATGTCACCCCACTCAGCGTAACACTCATGAACTCTAAGGCTCTCCGCCCCCACCTTCCAAAGGACGTTAATGCACCTGGACCTACCTGGCTTATCATGGCCAAGCTAATGTGAACCCAGGTCCAACATCTCTGCTCCTAAGAAGGTGCTTTGGAACAGGTCTAGGAAGCGTTTGGGGTTTGCTTTTCTTAAAACGTTCAGGTTTGGGCTTTAACAACTTCTGGTTTAGGCAACTCCTGCAGCCCCTCCCTGCCAGGTGGTGGTGGCAGCTCCCTCAGATAGAAAGGAAGAATGTCTAGTAATTGTGATATTTTTCACATTTAGTAGATGTGATTCCCCCGGCACTGAATTGAGGAGATGCGTTCAATGGAATAAAGGCGGTTACCCAGATGCATTTCAATATGCGAGCGTGTACGGTTCTTTGCCACCTGTTCTCCACCTCCGTCTGGATGCCAAGGGCCCTAGAACAGATGCAGCATCTGCATCCAGGCTCGGACGCTGAGTCTAAGTCCGTGGTGCTCGAGAGCAGACGCTATAAATATTTTTAATTGCTAAAAGGGGTTATTAAATTATAAAGCCTAGAGAAGTCGGCGAGAGTTGGAGTGACAGGGAATGAGCTGAAAACTGGCTGTTAAAGGAAGCCGGTTCCAGGCTCTGCCCGTCCCGGAAGCGTGCTGTCACTTGAACTGAGGGCAAAGCGCCTCCTCCTGGCCTCTGCGTGTTCTCGGTCTGTTCCCCTCCCGCTTCATTCTTGTCTGCAGCCAACACGGGGGCGACCTGAACGTGGGCCAAGTGGGCCACAGAGCAGACAGTGCTGTGCGCGCCGGTGGGAAGGGACGCAGACGGGACAGACTAGCAGCAGGGGCCGTTTCTGCAGGAGGCGTGTGCTGAGGACCCAGTGTGCTGGGGATTGGGTGTGGGGCTGGAGGGGAATACAAGAGGATATCAGAAACCTCAGAACATCAGCACGCATAGGGGAAGATAGTCCCCACCCTGGTGAGTGCTGGCAAAGGCACAGGGACCAGGGCAATCGGAGAACACGTGTTCCACGGAGAAACACTCTTCTGTCCTCAGTTGGGAGACCCAGCCTCAGACCCGTGACCACAGAGCCCGAGTTAAGATTTTATTTTTCTGCTTGGTTCAAGTGTTAGTCTCCACTTTTCTGAGCTTTGAGGAGTCTTACTGGGCAAACAGTAAGGAAAACAGTAAGGAGGGCTTTTCCCAGGAGGAGTGCCTCCTGCTTTTTTGTAGTGTGTTAGGTACCTTCCTTTCCACGTTTTGTCTGCTCCGTAAACAGTGGCTCTCAAACACAGGTGTACGTCAGAACCCCCTGGGGCACTGGCTGAACTTCCTCCCGAACCAGAATCTCCCAGGAGAGCCCAGGCCTTGCGCCTTGGGTGCTCAGATCCTCATCCAAGTCCGAGAACCACTGGCCCTGAGGGCCACAAGTCAGGAGTGTGCAGAGGTAGGAGGTGGCTCAGAGTGAGGCCAGAGCCACCAGATGCGGAATTCTTCCCAGCAGCTCCTCACCATCACCCGCATCTGCTCACCTGTGCTGAGCTATGCCTCCAGTTCCTTACACACCAGCACGTTAACCCTGTGGCCTATTTCCACTGGGGAGAGAGCACGGCTGTGGGGACGAGGCTCCAAACCTGACAGGTCTCGTTGGAAGAGGAAGAGAAGGTTCTCACGGCTCTGGGGAGGGGGGCCCCTAAGGAGTGGAGCTGAACATGGGAGGGGGACGGGGTGTTCCCATGCCGAGGCTGGAGGGCGTGCACAAAGGTAGGTCTGCGGGAGAGTTTAAAGAAGTTAAAATCTGACCATTCATTGGAGAGGGATAAACCAGAAGATTGGGGAGCAAAGAAACCTACGTCTGTACAAGAGGGAAGAGAGCCTGTCTCCATATATGACAAACCCATAGCCAACATTATACTCAATGGGCAAAAACTACAAGCATCCCCCTTAAGACCGGGAACAAGACAGGGATGTCTGCTTTCACCACTCTTATTTCACATAGTACTGGACGTCCTAGCCACAGCAACCAGATAAGAAAAAGAAATAAAAGGCATCCAAATTGGAAAGGAAGAAGTAAAACTGTCATTATTTGCAGATGGAGTGATCTGTATATAGAGAACCCTAAATTTAGATCCTACCAAAAGCTAGTGGAACGGATAAATGACTTCAGTAAAGTTGCAGGATACAAAATAAATATTCAGAAATCAGTTGCATTTTTATATTCCAATAATGAACTATCAGAAAGGGGAACTAAGAAAACAATCCCATTTATAATTGCATCAAAAAATAAAACACTTAGGAATAAATTTAGCCAAGGATGTAAAAGACCTGTACTTGGGAAAGTATAAGACACTGAAGAAAAACAGTATGGAGTTTCCTCAAAAATTAAATATGGAACTGCTGTTTGACCCAGTGATCCCACTTCTAGGAATATACCCTAAGAGACTCAAAACACCAATCAGAAAGAATGTATGTACTCCTATGTTTATAGCAGCACAATTTACAATAGCTAAGATCTGGAAATAGCCCAAGTGCCCATCAGTAGATGAGTGGATAAAAAAGCTGTGGTACATTTACACCATGGAATACTCTGCAGCAGTAAAAAAGAAGGATCTCTTACCCTTTGAGACAGCACGGAGGGACCTGGAGAGTATTATGTCAAGTGAAATAAGCCAGTCAGGGAAACACAAGTATCACATGATCTCACTCATATGTAGAATCTAATGAACAAAATAAACTGATGAACAAAATAGATCCAGAGACATAGAAGCACAGAACAGACTGTGGAATCTCAGAGGAAAGGCGGAGCTGGGTGGGTGGGTGGGAAGAGATCAACCAAAGAACTTGTATGCATATATGCATAACCCTTGGTCACAGACAATAGATTGGGGAAGGCCTAGGGCAGAGGATAGGGGCGAGCTATAAGGGGTCAATGGGGGGGGGGAGGGCAGAGAAGACATATGTAATACTTTCAACAGTAAAGATTTAATTTAAAAAATAAGACACTGAAGAAAAAAAAGTTGAAGATATAAATAAGTGAAAGCATATACCGTGTTCATAGATAGAAAGAATTAATATCGTTAAAATGTCAATACCACCCAAAGCAATCTATAGATAGAGTGTCATTCCTTTCAAGATACCAATGGCAAATTTCACAGAGCTAGACAAATATCCCCAAAATTTATATAGAACCACAAAAGATCCCAAACAGCCACAGCAATCTTGATAAAGAAGAACAAAGTTTGAGGAATCACTCTACCTGATATCAACTATATACGTCAAGGCCATGGTAGTCAAAACATCATGGTACTGGCACAAAAACAGACATATAGATCAATGGAAGAGAGTAGAGAGCCCAGAAATAAATCCATGCCTTTAAGGACAATTAATGTTTGACAAAGGAGACAAAAACATACAATGGGGTAAAGATAGTCTATTCAATAAATGGTGCTGGGAAAATTGGACAGTTAAGTGCATGACCTTCTTACACCATACATAAGAATAAACTCAAAATAGATTAAAGACTCAAATGTTAGACTCGAAACCCTAAAACTCCTAGGAGAAAACATAGACAGTGAAATCTCAGACATTTGTCGTAGCAATATTTTTTCTGATATATTGCCTTGGACAAAGGAAACAAAAAGAAAAAATAAACAAATGGGACTGCACCAGACTAAAAAGTTTGGTGTATACATGTGTGTGCATGTGCATGTGTGCATACATAAACATCATCTTCAAATCCATCATCCAGAGTTTTCCTCCGTTAGACTTGGGATCAAGTTAGGACTTAAGGAAAGGTGAGTGGTTTCGATTGGCTCGGTCCCCTTTCGATGCAGTGATGCAGCGTCTGTGTGTTTACAGAGGCTGCTGGTGTGCCTGGAGGAATCCATTTACATCCACAACATCAAAGACATGAAGCTGCTGAAGACCATCCTGGATGTTCCTGCAAACCCAACAGGTGAGCTCCCGAACGAGACAGGTGCCCCCTCCTCTCGTGTCCAGGTACCCCTTTCTCTATCTTGAGAACCTGAAGCAGTTGTTTTGCTTTATAAGTCTTCATGGGGTTTACCCCGAGGCTGTGTTTTAATGGGGGCAGGTTCAAGTACATCAGGCTGTGCGCCCTGCAAGAGGCTGTGTGGCCCTCACGGCCGCCCACCCCCCGAAACTCCTTTCATCTGGGCCCGTTCTCAGCAAATGTGTCAGGGCGTTTGAGGTAGACGCGTGGGAGATTCCATGCATCTGGTACTGAGAGGTGTTTACCCCTAATTATTTGCTGTGGTTGCTCAGCACAGAGTAGGCGTAATAATTAAGAGCAGGTTTTGACTTGGTGTGTCTACGTGACTAGGAGAGAGACAAGCCGAACCGCAAAGAATATGTTCTGTTATGTTACAGAGAAATCTCCACATTGCACTTCCCAAACTTCTCAGGATGGGACGCTGTTGAGTAAGGTTCCCAGTTTAAGTTTGTGACGTGCAATGTTCTAGCATTTCCTTCTGAAAGGCCAGGGTCAGGTTGAACAACCACAGTGTGTCTTTTTCTTTTTTTTATAATATATTTTTATTGATTTCAGAGAGGAAGAAAGAGGGAGCAAGAGATAGAAACATCAATGATGAGGGAGAATCATTGTTGGGCTGCCTCCTGCACACCCCACACTGGGAATCGAGCCCACAACCCAGGCACGTGCCCTGAGTGGGAATCAAACCCTCTTGGTTCATAGGTTGACGCTCAACCACTGAGCCATGCTGGCCAGGCCACAGTGTGTCTTATTACACCTTTGCCATCTTTTGGAGAGAATGTCCAGGAGTTTTTCAAATCCTGAAATTTATACTTATCCTCTCAACAACCACTTTAATAAAATGGAGATGATAATGATCGCCCCCCCAGAATTACTCGGAGGATTAACTGGGGGCAGGGAGTGAAAGCCACGGCACGTCTGCCCCGCATCACATGCGGCCCACTAGGCTCACTCACTCGTTGAGTGCCAGCCTGGGGGACACTCCGGCATCACATGACATGACTGCTCCCCAATCCAGAACCATCGGCTGCCTCTGAACCTTCAGAACCACGACCGTAAAATCCTGAGGCCAGTGGCCTCCTCCATTTGCTCATTCTCTAATAGATTTTCTGAACAACACTAACGATGGAGACGCTGGCTCTGATCTTTATAAACCCTTCGTGAGTCCACAAGGCAGACAGAACTGTGTCTCATGGCTCGAGCACACATTCTGCACACATGCTGCCCGTGGCTCCAGCACACATTCTACATGCATGCTGCCCACGTGAACCACGAATCAGTGGCACGCACCGAGTCCTCCCACTGCTCTGCGCTCAGCATCTGTGTGGCTGTAAATTTCCTCCCTCTTCGTCTGTGTTTGTGTCATGCCCGCTCCTGTTGTGTCAGAGATTGCAGGCTGCTTCCTCTAAAGAGTTAGGCCAGATGGGGCTCGAAGCTAATTTCCTGCGAGCACAGCAGTCTGTGTGCCGAGCTGTAGAGGGTAGAAATCTCTGGACAGGTCTGCGAGCCACGGACTCGGCTGTGCCATGGACCTCACAACCGTGTACGGGGTACCGAGGGGGCAGTCTACTCCCCCCACAGTGTGTCTAACAGAATGAAGCCGTGGGTATTGTCCAGTGAGCCCTCTCTCTGGAAGTGGTGCTGCTGGCGGGGAGCTGGCTCTCATTTGCAAGCACAGATTCCTTTCCGAGTCTGAAAACAGGAAGGCATGTTCTGGGCCACAAGTCAGCCCAGAGGGAACTGCATGTCATAAATCACCGTCAACTTGCTTGAAGTTTGACATGTCATTCTATGAATCCCGGGACGCCGATGGCTTAGAATCACAGGACTTCCTTGTCATCCAGCGGATGATGCCATCGGCTCTTCAATTGTTAGCAGGCCCTTCTCTTCCAGCTGTGGAGGGATGACAGCCACACCGGGGCGGTGAAATCATAGCTGACAGTGACTTGTGAAAATGTGTGTCAAGTGTCAAACATCCAAACCTCGCCCCTCTGGAAGGAAATGTGCTCAAATATTGAGAACAGTGAAAAACCTCTAGGTTTTAGAATGGTGGCTGATTTCCCCTTTCTTCATATTTTCTCAGCTCTGCAAATTGTTGATCACTTTTCTGTTATAAAATAATATCAAAGGAAAGGCTTGTTTCCTTCCTTAAAAGGCTTCGTGCGGCACCTGTGACAGAAGCAGAAGACTTCGTGCTTTCCTTGGGGGCTTCGCAGGAAATAAAGATACATTCTCACACGTGAACCACAAATTGGAACCAGCTGGTTGGATTTGTCCGAGAATTGGACCCCAGGCCATCAAAGGAACTCATGCAAAGCATTTGTGGGGGCCTTGGTTTCGTGTGCGAGGGTCGGCGTGCAGGACCCCTTGGCTACAGGCAGATGGGTCGGCAGAGGTGCAAGTCCAGAGCCCAGCTGTCAAACACGTGGGCGTGTGCCAGCGTGAACCTGCCCTAGCCGTTCCCCTCCGCACCTTTCTTGTTATAATCTAGGGCCATCTCATTCTCCTCCAGGCAACACAGGAAGTGCCATGTTAGCTGAAGACGTTGAAGCCTTTCTTCCTTTCTGAGATACTCACATTTGAACATAGAACTCTGAAGGGCACCTGTAAGAATGGCTTATTCAAAAAGACAAGAAGTAACAAGTGTGCTGAGGACGTGGAGAAAAGGGAGCCCTGTGCCCTGTTGTTGAGAATGTCAGTGGTACAGCCGCTGTGAAAAGGAGTAGGGAGCTTCCTTAAACAGCTGAAAGTAGGTAGAACTACCATGCGATCCAGCTGTCCCACTGCTGGGAATACAGCCTGAGCAAATGAAATCGCCTCCCACAGAGACAGCTGCACCCCCCATGTTCATCGCAGCATTGTTCCCAAGAGTCAAGATCTGGAAACAACCTAAGTGTCCAATGGCGGATGAACTGATAAAGAAAATGCGGTGTGGATGTACAAAGGAATCTATTCAGCCATAAAAAGGATGAAATCTTACCATTGTAACAACACGGATGGGCCGAGTGAAAGATGTCAGACGGACAAGGACAAATATCGCAAAAACCGTAGGATCTCTTATATGTGGAATTTAAAAAAATGGCTTCATAGACACAAAGAACAGATTAGTGGTTGCCGGAGGAGGGGAGTGAGGGGTGGAGAACAAAATGGGTGAAGGGGGTCAACAGGTACAAACTTCCAGTTATAAAATACGTCCTGGGAATATGCAGCATGGTGACCACAGTGAATAATACCGTGTTGCATATTTGAAAGTTGCTAAGAGATTAGATCTTAAAAGTTCTGCTAGCAAGAAAAAAATTGTAACTGTATGTTGACAGATATTTACTAGATTTGTGATTATTTTGCAATATATACAAATACTGAATCATTATTTTGGCAGACCTGGATCTTGAACTCACGTCCTCCATCTGTCTCTGCCAGATAGATATTCTTAAAACACTGCCTGTTTTTTTCCCTAACAACTTATTGCGATATAATTGGCATGCCATATGATTCACCCATTTACAGTACACAATTCAATAGCTTTCAGTATATTCAAAGAGCTGTATGACCACCAGGGCAATCGATTTTAGAGCATTTTATTCCCTCCCCGAAAAAAAAACACACATACCTCTTAGCCATCAGCCCCCATACCTCCAGGCCTAGGCAACCCTAATGTACTTTCTGTCTCTAGATTTATCTCTTCTGGACATTTCATAGTAATGGAATGATACAATATGTGGTCTTTTGTGACAGGCTTCTTTCACTTAGCATAATATTTTCAATGTTCATCCATATTGGAGAATATATATATATATATATATATTTTTCATTTAATTTCTCTCTATTAATTAACTAGAGGCTCGGTGCACGGATTCATGCATCGTTGGGGTCCCTCGGCCTGGCCTGCGCCCTCTCGCAATCCGGGACCCCTTGGGAGATGTTGGATAGCCAGTTTCGGCCTGATCCCTGCAGGCCCCATCCAGACAGGAGGGAGCTCGATCCTGTGTGTTGAGCGTCTGTCCCCTGGTGGTCAGTGTGCATCATAGCGACTGGTCGACTGGTCACTTAGGCTTTTACATATATAGATAATACTCCATTGTAAAAATATACCACATTTCATCCACTCATCAGTTGATAAGACATTTGGGCTGTTTCTACTTTTTGACTGTTATGAAGAATGTTGCCGTGAACATTTATATACAAGATTCTCTGTGGCTCTGTGTTTTCATTTCTCCTGGGGACATGTCCAGGAGTGGGGTTTTTGGTTAGATGGGAACTCAGTGTTTAGTCTTTTGAGGAACAGCCAGGCTGTCTCCCCAGCACTGGCCCGCGTGACCTTCCCAGCGGCAGTGTGAGGGTTCCAATTATCTGTCTTTTTTATAATAGCCGTCCTGGTGGGTGTGAAGTGGTGTCTCGTTCTGGTTCTGATTAACTCTGCTTTTTTTAAACACATGTACTCAGAAACCTTCAGAACGTACTGGACACATTTATACGATCTGAACTCTGCAATGGTACTCAAGTCCCGCTAGGGTTGCACTGTCCGATCTTCACCTCCTTTCCGCTCACCACCCCTCTGGGAACCCACATGCACACCAATCTGGTGTCCTGGTCTTCCCTCCCCCGTTTCACAAGACCAGAGTTCCTTCTGCTGGGCAGGCTGATGTTGAAATTGCATTTTGGATTGCAAAGAACCCAGATGAGATGGGGAATTGGGTTCCCAGAGCAAAACTGGCAAGGTCCGAGTGGTCCCTTGTCAGGCCTGGGCCGAGAGTGACCTTGTACCCGCCAGGGGGCTGCAGGGAGCCAGAGCAGGCAGGTCATGTCTGCCACGCCGTTCCTCACCTCACCAGGAGGTGGCGGTGTGGGCGCGCTGTTTTCAGGGGCCCTTTGCAGGTAAGTTCTCTCTGGACACTGGCTGTTTCATCTCTGTTTGTTCTCTGCCAGGTCTGTGTGCCCTCTCGATCAATCATTCCAATTCTTACGTGGCTTATCCTGGAAGCCTGACCACAGGCGAGATTGTGCTTTATGACGGACACTCCCTGGTAAGTTGGCAGGGACCGGGCTGACCCCACCCACCTGTGTGGCCCTGCGGTCAGTGGCATGTCGCAGAGGGGTGAGGTGCAGAGGCTGAAGCAACAGTGGGGGAGTTTGTTCTGGCCACAGCGCTTGGGTGTGGAGAAAGCAGTGATATTTGCCCTTGAGCCATCAGTCAGCATAGCCAGGAGGCAGCGTGCCAGGCCCAGGCAGACAGCTGCAGCGCCAGGGAATCCACCTGCCAGCCGGGGGCCCGCTGTGGGCTTGGCGGTGCCATGCTGCACACTTCCTGTCCTCCGCTTGCCGCGCTTCACAGAGCGGGGCAGGCGGCAAGGGGAAGCCCCCTAAAGATGCACTGGGGAGGGCCACGACTGCGCCGTCACCCCACACCGGGCACCGTTGGTTGTCCATCTTCCCGAGGGCAGGACAAGGGACAGAAACGAGTGGCCCTTGAGGCAGAGTCTGGATACACTAGAGCACATGGACAGCTGCCATGTGAAAGGTCTGCTGGAAAGAGAGACGGGCAACTGGCAAGTGAGGGAGGGTGTCTTGGAGGGAAAGAGGAAGCAGAGGGAGGGGCGATCCATCGTCCCTCTTTCCCGGCATCGATACCCGTTGTTCCTTTTCACCAACAGAAAACAGTCTGCACGATTGCGGCCCACGAGGGGACGCTGGCCGCCATCACCTTCAACGCCTCGGGCTCCAAGCTGGCGAGCGCTTCTGAGAAAGTGAGTGCGCTCAGCGCTCAGCGTCTTTACCGGCTCTCCTCCTGCGGGGCTCGCTGGGTGGTGATTGATGACTCGTGTCTGGTGACACCAGGACTGACGGGCCTCTGGGCCCGCCCAGAATTCACTTCAGAAGCAGCCTATCAGGCATGGTGTGGCATACTGATGCCTCTGTTAACTCACTAGTGCAGAGGCCTGCGCTATGCAAGATGCAAGATACTTTGCACCAGAACTTGCTGTCTTACTGAGAAGCGGGTGTGCCCATCACAGGTACAGACAGAGGCTGCCTCTCATTAGTGTGGTATAAACGAAATGCTTTGCTAGTTAGCAGATGGAGCTCTTCTGACGGGAATAATCAGGGAGTGTGAGCAAGTTGAATTTTCAAATGCCACGAAGAATAGGTCTGTTGTGACCGGCAGAGACTGACCATTCCAGGAAGCCAGAGCCCTTTGAGTGAACACACGCCGAGCCCTGGGCTGGGGTGGGAGGGAAAAGGGAGACAGACGCCCCGAGAATTGCTTCTATGGCACATATGCAAACAGACAGGCCTCCCCGCCCAGCACTCTGTGCTTCCTCTCCGGGACAGATGTTCAGCGCCAATAAAAACACGTCTTCTAAAGAGACGTGTCTGTGCGAAGCCATGAACGGTATGAAACGTCCACCCGCTTTCTTTTCCAGGGCACGGTCATCCGGGTGTTCTCCGTACCTGAAGGGCAGAAGCTCTATGAGTTTCGGAGAGGAATGAAAAGGTGTGTGTTCACTGTGAAACCCACTTTAACGTGCCCACAGAGTTGTGCAGTGGCTGGCAGCCATCTGGGGAGAGGCGGGGAGGGGCAGACCTGTGCCCGCCTCTCTGTGCCCCAGACGGGGCAGAACTGTGCTCTCTCAGGTAACTGACCTAGAGGCCCGCTCACTGCTCAGTACACCTGAGAGTGAAGATGCCGTTTTAACACGGGGGTTCAGCCACAGGAGTCCTTGGTGGGTGTCGCTGGGTGGCCAGCAAAGGAGAAACGAGAGAGCAAGGGAGTCACAATCCAAAAGCAATTTCTTAAAAAAAAAAAAAAAAAATATATATATATATATATATATATATATACACACACTTTTCTTTTTAATATATTTTATTGATTTTTTACAGAGAGGAAGGGAGAGGGATAGAGTTAGAAACATCGATGAGAGAGAAACATCGATCAGCTGCCTCCTGTACACTCCCTACTGGGGATGTGCCCGCAACCAAGGTACATGCCCTTGACCGGAATCGAACCTGGGACCCTTGAGTCTGCAGGCTGACGCTCTATCCACTGAGCCAAACTGGTTAGGGCCAAAAGCAATTTCTGATCCCTTTCTGTGGAAATAGGACGGTGTGACGGTCTGGGGTCCCGCTGGCTGTAGGGCTTGACAGTCGGTGCAGAGAGCAGCTGGAAAACCTCCGTGGTGACTGGAAGGAGCAGCCCCTGTTCCTTCCTGCCTGAGACCATGACCCTTTAGGGACCTTTCCAACATCAATTTCTAACGAATGCCCAACGCCGACGAGATATTTTTTCCTGGCTGATTTTTCCTGGCTCACCAGTCCCCACGCTGCTCTGCGTTCTAGGTATGTGACCATCAGCTCCCTGGCCTTCAGTATGGACTCACAGTTCCTCTGCGCCTCCAGCAACACCGAGACCGTGCACATCTTCAAGCTGGAGCACCTCGCCAGCAGGTAAGCTCGGCGCCAGACGTCACACACTCATTCGGCGGAAGGATGGGGCCCCGAGGACCCTGTGCTGGCGGCCACGGACAGCACATGCGATTCCCTCTCTCTCTGAAAGCCACAACCTTGACCTCACTTGTCGTGTCCTCTCAGAGTGGCGAGGGGGGTGTGAGCCAAGGCTCAGTGATGTGATGCGTGGAGGCAACGTCCAGAGACGCTCCAGCTGGGGCGGTCATTTAATCTTTCTGGACTGGGGTTCAGATGCATGGTCTACACACCTGAGGCTTGTTGTAAGGATTAAATGAGCTCCTTGACCTCGGGTGAGGTCATGTAAGGTCCCGCACCCGAAATCATTTGGCCTGGCCCTGCCCAGGCATTAGGGGTGAGTTACTAGTGATTGAATGTTTGACCAGATAGAGCAGGCTAATATTTTAAGTTGCTCTAAACCTAGTAATACAGTCCTTGCCATTACCCACCCCGGAGTGCGAGGCGAGCACTGTCAGTGCCCGTGTGTGACTGCAGGCGTGGGTGAGGTCGGCAGTCGAGAGCATGTGTTAGATTGCAGCCGGGGCCGTGCGTATTCATGCCCTATGATTGCTATAACAAAGTACCACAAACATAAAACAGCCAGCGGGCGTACCTCACGGTTCCGTAGGTTGGTTGTCGGGACGGCTGGGGGCTCTGTCTCGGTCTCAGGAGGCAGACATCCCAGTGGCGGCCGGCCGCGTTCGCATCTGGAGCTGAAAGTCCTCCCAGACTCATCCGTGTTGCTTCCTTCTCGGGCTTTGGCTTTCCCCGGCTCCCCCTCTGCCTGCCTTCCCTGCAGCCCTCGAGAAAGCTCTGTGCTTTAAGGGCGCAGGTGATTCGATTGAGCCCAGCTGGGTGATCTCCCTCCCTGCAGCCAGCTGGGCCCTCGACCGTCACTGCTCTCAACACCGTCAGGTGCAGGGGCCGGGGGCCAGGGGCAGAGTCTCGGGGCCGCTGCTAGACTCCTGCCTGCGGTCGCGTGAGCGTGAATTCACAGGGCTAAGTGCCACGTGTGTGCCCGTGTCCTCTCCTGCGGGCGTTTACCCTCAGAAGCACCACAGCTGTGAGGCGTCCTCCCACCCAGCCACCGTGCGTGGCAGTGTAACCTTGCCCAGCCCGCCTCCCAAGGTCAAGATCCCGCTCCAGTAGCTGGGTAGATGGCTCACACCTTCCTCGGGGGATGTGGGACACCTTGGGTCTCCTGACACTTCTCTGAAGTGTCATGATGGGAAACTGAAACACAAAGGGTTAGCGATCAGCTCAGTCCCCCTCAGAAAGCAGGTGATGGCGTCAGCGGTAATGGCACAGGCCGTAGCCACTCCAGGACCAGAGAGGAGAGAGAGGCAGAGTCCCTCCTCCGCTCAGTTCCCATTTCCCAAGTTTGCACCACAGGGATAATCATGGTCACCTCGCTGGGACAGCTGAGCAGGGGAGTATGCACAGGGCCTAGCACAGCGCCTGGCACACAGCACAGCTGTTTCATTAGATGGCGTCTCTGAGGCTGGTGTGACTGAGGAGGCTCTGGAGTGGTGGCCTCTGGGAATAAAGCTGCCTGAGGAGGGAGCGCCATGTCCCCAGGGGCGTATGCAGGAGACCGGTCCATTGAGAAGACAGAGGATGAACTGGTCAGAGAGACTAGCAGGGGACCGCATAGAAGAGTCACAGATTGCACCAAGAGGTGCATTTCCGTTTATAGAGCACCTCACACATTCCTCCCGCGGTCCCACCGTCTCCCTGCAAGGCGGGCGGGGAGGTGTTTCATTGGCACCTGACAGAAACTGCTCGTGCTGTCTTATCGTCATTTTCCTGGGCTGTGTCTCCACCGTGAATGCAGGACCTGGACACGGTAGCTCTTGGTAAATCCCAACCCTGAGCACAGGGCTCCAGGAAGAGCGTGGAGCCGGGACGACAGCAGTACGCCTGGGAGGGCTGGCACTTTCAGATGAGAACAGGGGGTCCGCCAGCCGGGAACAGAGTGAGAAACAGACCCCAGAGCCGTGGTGCGTGTTTCCCGCCTGGATCTGGTCCCCAGACAAGCACCTCGGAGCAGGCGTGGCCACCCTGGTCCCTGCTGCTCACTGTGCGGAGCCGGAGCCGAGACAGGTGCCTGTGAGCCGTCCACACTCACCTGCCTCAGCAACAGAGCAGTCACCCCTCTGGCGACTGCAGGGGGTGCACCAGGCCCCTCCGAATGGTCTGCACCCCAGTGAAGCTCCGGGTACGGGGCGCTCCGGGCTGTAATCAAACACCGCCCAACCGTCTTGCCCAGAGGTTTGCTTCCCACTCATCTGGCCCCGAGGCCGCACACTGAGCTTGCAGGGCAGGCTTGAGCCTGTTTACAGAGTCCAGAGAGCGATCCCATCTCCCCTCACCCCCTTTCAGGAACCTAGAAATCAGACGAATCACCAGATGAAACGTTTTTGATGTAGGAAAGTGTAACACTGGGAACCTCTTAAGAGCTTTGTAATGGCCCTTCTGAGGGACAATGGGCGCTTGCTGCCCTTTCGGCATGGCCAGGACACTGTGTCCCGGGCTGTGCTGGGGGGCAGGACATCACGCTGAGGCGGTTTCCTCCTCCCGCGGCGAGGGTGAGGGTAAGGGCCGCTCCCGTGTGTCAGGGTGTGGGTTGTCGCATGGATGCCGGTGCCTGCAGCTCCGGCTCATCACGCCTGTGCCTGTGCGTTGCTCCCCCAGCCGACCCGAGGAGCCTGCGACCTGGAGCGGCTACATGGGAAAGATGTTCATGGCAGCTTCCACCTACCTCCCCGCCCAGGTGTCAGACATGATGAACCAGGACAGGGCCTTCGCCACCGGGCGTCTGACTTTCTCCGGACAGAAGAACATCTGCACCCTCTCCACGTACGTAGGGCACCACCCACTCTCAACGCCGCTACACATTCATGCCCCCAAAAATAAAATAAAAAAGAAAAGAGAAGGAGGCCAGGAGGAAGGGTGAGCAAAATCAAAACCCTGCAGCTTCGCCTCAGCTGCCTGGTTATAACATGCGTTCTCAGGGGGCAGCTGGACGCTGGCAAGGGAATTTATGGCCACACTGTCCCAAAAACAGTGTCTGTGTTTACGTAATTATGTAAAAAGGCCTAGACACCTATGGGGTAATTATGTAAAAAGGCCTAGACACCTATGGGGATGACAGATGTTTTCCCTAAGAAGTTTAAAGGCGTTAAACATTTTAAAAATTCCATAACACGAGCCAGCAAAGAGGCAAGCCAACTTTCCACTCTTCTTTCTGTCACTGTTAAAGGTAGAGGTGCCATCCCGTTCAGGTAAGCTCATGTTTTGTTTGTTTTCGCAACAGCTCTTCCTGGAGTAATTGTGTGGACACACGTCATTTTGTCTCTCCCACACAATTATGGTCAAAGACAAGAATTAACCCTCAGGGTAGATCACTAGGTCAGAATGCAAAGAAAACAGCCAGACACCCAGAACCCGGGCCCAGCGGGCTAAGGGTTTGTTGGTGGCAGAAGTCGGCGGCGGTTGGGGAGCGAGGCCTGGTCGTCGGAGGCCGGCCCGTGACCCACCTTTGTTGTAACCAGGCGTTTCACTTGGCTCTTAGGATCCAGAAACTGCCGAGGCTGTTGGTCGCATCCTCCGACGGACACCTTTACATCTACAACCTGGACCCTCAGGACGGAGGAGAGTGTGTCTTGATCAAGACTCACAGGTGGGGTTGCTAGTTTGCAGCTGGTTGTGTAGTCACCACTGGGCCAGGAACAATGAGGAGCTTGATCTTCGTGCTCTCGCTTTCCTTTCTCCTTCACCGGCAATCCCGGCACGCACCTCTAGGGGGCGCCTGCTCCGAGTAGGGCTCAGTGTCAGGCCGAGTGTCAAGCTCACCATGCTGTGTGCTTCTGGGAAAGTGAATGACACCCAACCGTCTCCCTCCTCGTGCGTGATGGGGCTCAAAAATATTTCCCGAACGGAACTGGAAAGTTCTCGTGACTTCCACGCCCCAGCACAGGATGGCCCGCTCCTGCTGTGGACAGGACACTGAGCTGCCCACGCCCCTCCCCCCGGAGCACCTCTTGCAAGCACATCTTCGAGTCCTTGCCTGAGTGACCCGAGTGACCCGGGCAAGGCCGAGCGCCAGTCCTCCCTTATTAAACACTAAAAAGGAAGGGGTCATTGTGAGTCGCATGGTTGACCCTGGCCATCGAGGTCCCTTCCGTGTCCGCACTGACCCAGCAGCAGGGCCCTGAGGGGCTGGGTGTGAGCTCCCTGGTGCTTCTCTCGTGGGCTCCTGGGTGCGTGACGATCGCACTTCTCCCTCTTAACTGCTGCCATTAGGTTGCTTGGCTCAGGAACCACGGAAGAGAATAAAGAAAATGACCTCAGACCTTCATTACCTCAGTCCTATGCAGCGACAGTAGCCAGACCAAGCGCATCTTCCGCCTCCACGGTGCCAGGTGAGCGGCTGGTGGTGGGGACATGCCTAGCAGGGGCCCTTCCCCCCTCCCCTTCACTGTTACCTGCGGAGGGAGCGCTCTCCCCAGCCATACAGAGGCCATGGGAGGAGCCTCGACAGGCAGCTCCCTGAACCTGGCAGGCCGGGCACTGGCTCGTTTCCCTAACAAGTTAACCCTTGGCCTCTGAGAGTTGGCAAACCACTGGGAGGTTTTAGGCGCCCGGGTGGGAGGTGGTGAGAGGAGCCTGCCCGGCTCTCGGGGCTCGGAGACGATCCGTGGTGGGGAGTTCGACTCCCCACAGTGGATGGCGGCCTCCCTGGTCCCCGGGCCCCCCGTTTTCTGAGGTCCTGCCCTGGGTCGTGGCGCAAGAGGAGACCCCATGGCTTCTCTCACGCCTCCTTCTTGGTTTCCAGGTTACTCTGAGGACGGCGGGGCGCTCCGCGGAGAGGTTATTCCCGAACACGAGTTTGCCACGGGACCAGTGTGTCTTGATGATGAGAATGAATTCCCCCCTGTGAGCATTAGGAATCCTTAAGAGAGCGGCTCAGTCTGTGTGCTTCCAGGGAAGCCTTCGCCTGGGGCAGGAGGCGCGGGCCCTTTCCCCATCGGCTAGTGTAGAGCTAACCCTCCTAATGCCCAGAGGCCCGAGTGCTGGTCGTGCTGCGCGCCGCCCTCTCTGCAGACCAGCCCGCAGGTGGCGCTCCACACGGCAGCACCGAGTAACAAACACTAACCCAGGTGGTCTGGTGGCCTCGCTCGCTACCTCCGGGCCGGAGTCCTTGACTTGGCTTCCTTAGCACTGTCTTGGCTGCTGGGTGCACTCTTCGTTTCCTGAGGCTCCTGAGGGTGCTTTTGCAGAACGCTGTGGTCTCTGGACAAAAGATGGTGACCTAACAGGGCTGGGCCACTCTGCTCTGCCCTCCAGCCGACAGGGCAGACCCCAGCCTCAGCGGCAGCAGCTACAGTCCTTGTTCACTCATGGCCAGCCCCTGTGGAGAGACACCCCCCCTGCCCTTCCCCCCCCCCCACCGCCCGCAGCTCTCTGGGGTTCCAGCATCCTGCTTCCCCTGTCCTGGCAGCGAGGGCCACGGGCTGGCTGGGCGCTGGGCGCTGGGCTTGGCTTCCAGCACCCCTGTACAAACAGCAGGTCCTCTCCCTGGGTGGCCATGGCCGCCTTCGCTTCTGATTCTTCAAGCTTCCATTTAAGGCAACATATAGATGCCTCTTGTGAGCTTCAGTTCAAGGACAGCCCAGATAGTGGACCTGAAATCGGTTAGAGACAGGAGCAGCGCTTGGGCCGAGACTTGGGGAGTCCGCTGAGGGACCCGGAGGCAGAGCCACGGCCACTGGGCACTGCTACAGGGCCCCTTAGGTCCTGGTGTGCAATGTTGTCTCCTGATCAGCACTTTCTATCAGTGGAGATTCCTTTTGCAAAAGGATGTTGTGCAGGTCTGGCTTCTGGCTTGCATAGACCCATAAGGACAACCTAGTAAGCACAGTCACTACAAAAAAGGGGGGGTGTTGTGGGACCCCCAGTGCATGGCTTGGGGGCTGTGTGAGATCCCACAGGGGCAGAGGTTGCAGGGTGAGATTTACACTCTGGCTCTTAGTCGGCCGGCCCCCGGATACAGTGCCAACAAGGAAGGTTTTTAGTTTAGGGGTGGAAAGCGGTGGTTCTTAAAAATACTAATTGTTATAAATTTAAAAACCTCTGCTGGCTTGCTGCCTCCGATGTGCCAGGTGCCTTGCCTTTGGGTTCTCACGCCCCACCAACCGTAAAGGTTTTTTTTTTCCCATCACCCAAAAGTTGGTGGTTATTTACCCGAAGTCGCATCTTCTGGGAACCAGAGCAAGTCAGATGCAGTTGGGGATAAAACTGAGGTTCCCTTTCAGTGACTTTGGTCAAAGTCTGTGACTGCTACAAAGGTTAGTAGATTCTTAACTGTAATCAGAGTAGACTTTGCCACCCCTTATATTTACAGAATCAGGTACTTCAGATGTCAGCATGCAGGAGGTGGTCCTTTGCCAAAGATTAGACCTGTACAAAATAATAGGTCCACGGGGCAGAGCACTTGTTTGGAGTAAAAACAAAAACCATGGAGATGCTTCAGAACTGGCCCAGAGGCCTGTCCGCCTGGGCTCTGCCTAAGGAGGGAAAGATGGTTTAAACTCTGTCAGGCTCCCCTGAGTGAGACCACCGAGCGAGGTTCCCTAGATCGGCTGTCAGACGCCAGCAGGTGTCGGGTGATGGGGAGGAGAGGGTCCTGTTCCTACGAGACACTGACACAGTAGCAGGCGGTTCCCCATCTCCCCGCTCAAGGGCCAGAGAAAGGAGCGGCTGCCGGGATGCGCTCTCAACATGGACCATCCCGGCCATGCCTCTCCCACAATCACATTCAGCTGGAGATTCGAGACGCCTTCCTCTCTCTGCCTCTGTTCTTTGCCTTTGATAGACATATCTGTCCAGAATCCACATCTCTACCCACATTCCTTAAACACTGCCAGGACAGTGAGAGGATCCTGGTCTCAGCTCGGGCAAAATCCCTTCTGTAGATGTGAGTGCGGGCTAGCCTGGATGCCGTGAGCACATGGGTCATTTTAAAAAATACATACTGACACGTCCCTGGGTCGGCTCACTCTCATCTCCATGGGTTTACTTTGCTCCTGGAAAAATGAAGACGAGAGAATGCATCGCCTCTGGTACCTTAGAAAGACGCAGCCCCCTTTCAGGAGGACGGGCAGCCTCCCTTTCGGTAACCAGCCAACCTTTACGGCTGCGTGCTTCCCACACCAGTCTTACTCTAGTGGGCAAGAGGATGGGGCTGGGCCAAGGGTTTACTGACTTTTTAACAGTGATTTAGCAGCCTGTGTTTACAAGATGAGCCTTTTTAAAAAACCCCACAGACACATATCAATACACATGCAAATATTTTCTATACAGTCAGTATGTTCTGAAACAGTGCCACCCTCGCCTGCGCCTGAGTGAGACGGGTGGCTGCCTGTGGCCTGTGTGCCAGCCTCCCCTGCCCACTCCGCAGGCACAGACCTGCTGCCGATGCAGCCTGCTCAGCCGCCTCTTCCTGGGGAGAGTAAGGCCATTCTGTTTTGATTTCGGTAGATAATATTGTGCCGCGGAAGCCAGAAGGGCAAAGCGAAGCAGTCATGATGAGACGCGCGCCTCAGAAATCAGGACACCCCCCATCAGGTGGTTTTGGAGAAAACCAGGAAGGTGGAAGAATGGCGTGCGATGGTGGGCGCAGAGTGGGGGGCAGGAACCCCAGGTGCCCCCTGCTTAAGCCACAGGACGTGGCTCGCTGCTCAGCAAGCCCCCCTCAGTCCCGGCTGCCAGTGGGTACGGGAGACGCCGTGTACGCATCCTGCTATTGGAACTATATTACCGCCATAATGTCAATGCTAACTAACCATATTGGTCTATAGCCGGAATTTTGTATTCAAAGCGGCATCCTTTTTCAATGTATGCTGTGTAAAAATGTATCTATAGGAAAATGTCTTCGAATTGTACTTCTTGTATGTTACGTACATAGAGACTATTTTAACCAGGAGAAGTACTTTTTTTTTTTTGGCAGTGATTGGAATAAATCACGTACTACCTTTGAGTCCCATTTAGGACACTAATAATAAAATCATGGCAATGCATTTTTAAGGCTCTGAAAATTTATTTCTTCATGGTTTTAGGAAGCAGGAAGAACTCCTCAAGTCTTTAAAACACAGCCATTTGACCTTTAAAGGGGGTCGGGGTGGCGGGTCGGGCCATGGATTAATCTGTGGGCTCTTCTGCTTGGAGACCTGGAACCGCTCACTTTGTCTAGTCAACACCCACGCCACCCAAGCACCCCAGGGTGGCCTAGAGATGGAGGTGGTCAGGCCCCAACCCAGACCTCCCGGGTCAGAATCGGTCCATTCACAAGCTCCCGGTGATTCATATGCGTGTTAAAGATGGAGAAGCGTTGCCTAGATACCAGTTGGCACAAATCTCTACTAAAATGACCAGTGAAACGGTGCATTAAAAAAAGAAGAAGAAGAAGACTAAAACGAATTAAGTGCCTGCCTCACGTGTCAGGTAATATGCCTGGCACTTTCACGAACTGCCTTACCGAATCCTCAAAATCAGCTCGCAAGGCAGGGTAAGTCATGGCCCAAGTTCAAAAGCCGGGCCTTGACCCTGGGCTGCCTCTGAGCCCGTAGGGTCCCCGTTACAGCTCTTGGCAGCTGACCTCCCAAGCCATCATGCAGACGGGACAGTGGGGGATGCAAGGTGGTGGCTTCCCGCCGAAATCCCGAGACTTATAAAGCGTACGTCACTAGAAAGAGGGTGGATGTGCACTTGCCGTTTCATTTCCTGCTGCTCCTGCTCCTGGGAACATGGGCTGGGAGGCGGTCTGGCAGCGGCAGGCAGTCTGGTGGGGGTCACAGCAGGGAGCTGCCGCCGGGTCCTGCGTGTAGTCCGCTCTGGAGACGTTGTCCCCAGCAATGTCATGCAGGACGTTGGCAAGAACCTCCCTGACCTGGGGCAGCACGCGCTGGTACTCCGCACTGCCCGTGTCCAGAGGCACAGCTTCCGTAACATCATCTTCCAGGTTGAAAATAAGGGGGGGCTCATGAGACCGCGCAGGCCCCACACTCCCGTCGCAGGCTCTGGCTCCTCCTAGAGAGAGGGGGACAACAAGGGCCCCGTCAAACCCAACTCCAGCCGTGTCGTCAGAGGGGAGACCTGTGACTGACTGTAAATGAACTCAAACACACCAGCACCTGACTATTCAAATGATTGCCCTCCCTGTCCAAGAAAGGACCTTGAGAATCTGCGTGCTCATCCCACAATGCTCCTGCTGTCCGGAATGATCCGGAACTTCTCCTTGGACTTGCCTTCAGAGCCAGTAGAACATGCGTTCAAATGTCTTTCATCTCCGCCCTCTGAGAGTAAAATTTGTTTTAAAATAGATTTCTTGGATAGCAAATATATTCGATTTTAAGCATCAGGCAGGCAGACAAGGTGACTCCTGCCACTGCGGGCTGAAGTGGAGGTTGCTGTCTGCATCAGTCTGGCTGTGGAGGCAGTCCCAAAGAGGAGGGCCAGGGGCCTGGGGCGATGGCAGCATCCTTGGTTGTTAATGATTCAGATGACATTTTTTTTTGTTTGCCTTTTCCATGCAAGTAAGCAGTTAAGGTATCTGACACAAATGAATAGAATACAATTGAATGAACAAAAAGAATGCAGGCCAAGGATGCCCTCGGAAGGAAACAACGGGAGTTAGTTCCTAAAGACCTCCTTCGACTCGGAGCTTCTCAGCGGCCAAGCGTGACTAAGTCAGAAACTGAAATCCAATTGCTGGGGGAAGCAGAGCTGCTCTGGCTTTGAGGTGTGAGAGAGCTTCTTCCACGGCTCCTCCTACATGCTGATGGGAAGCGCAGCTGTGTGGTTAGGATGGCCCAGCCGATGACCTCTCCTCACCCCCTTTATTACCCAGGTGAGAGCGTCACACCGAAGTGCCAGTCAGTGAAGGCAGACCCCCAGGGGCCAGAGCCGGGCTACCTGGGCACCGGCTTCCATCCTAGTCCCCTGTGGAGAGGGCTGACATCTGAAATCTCGAGTGACAAGAATGACTCGGTGGCGTGGCCTTGAGGGAACCGACCTTAATGGTTTTCCTCCTGTGACTCAGATTCAGGTTGTTCAGCTGAGAGAGTCACTGCCTTTGCCTGGAGTTTGGGGTTGAATCAACAATGAAGAGGGGTCACGTGAGGTTTGGCCGTCAATCACGTGAAGGCTGGGATGGGCTCCTCTCGTGAGAATTAAAGATATTTGCTTTAGCCGATTTGGCTCAGTGGATAGAGCATCAGCCCAAGAACTGAAGGGTCCCAGGTTCGACTCCAGTCAAGGATACCTACATGGGTTGCAGGCTCGATCCCCAGCTCTGGACTGGTCTGGGGTGTGGAAGGCAACCAATCAATGTGTCTCTCTCACATCGATGTTTCTCTCTCTCTCTGTCTCTCCGCCTCTCTTTCACTCTCTCTAAAAATCAATGGAAAAATGTCCTCGGGTGAGGATTAACAACAGCAACAAAAAATTAAAGACTTCCCATTAAGGGAATAGTGGGATAGCTTGCATACAACTAACCTTCCTATAGATAACAACTATGCATTCTAGGCAACGTATTAAAAAAACACCCTGAAGAGAAAAAAAGAGAAAAAAGAAGAAAATAAATAAAAACACACCCTGAGGGCACTAGAAATTAACCAATGCAAAGGCAGCAACCTAAAGGGACTCTGATCCTTGAGAGAAGGAAGCCACACTGGGTTGGGTCTGTGTTTAAACGATTTCCCCTGGGAAGACTCCTCGTCCCCAGGCTGTGTGGCTCAGAGCAGCTCACCTGAGGAGAAAGCTGTGGTCCCTTTGGCCTGAGGTGTCAGGGGACAGAGTTCAGGACAACGGCTGAGCAAAATCCTGGGTAAGAGGGAACTAGCGAGGGGAAGCCTCAGAGTCATGGGCTGAGCCCTGACCTGCGGGCACAGAGGACACGGGCTCCAGCAGACAGAGCTCAGCGGGCGTTTCTATGCGGCCACATGGGGGAGACGGGCTTAGAGTGTGAACGCCATTAGAAAGGCCTCAGAAACATTCCGTGCTAGGATTAAAGACCACGGCCCACGACCGAGGCATTTACCTAAGATGAAGGACCAAATCTGCGAGAGCCAGTCCCAACGAAGGACCAAATCTGCGAGAGCCAGTCCCAACGACGTGGAAAACCAACCTCCACAAGTTTAAGGGAACAGAAAGACCCACACT